TAACGAGAAGTTAAGTTCCCGTGAAAGACTTCAAAAAGACCTGGGAGAATGATATATTCACGTGGAATTTTAATTCAAAATGTGTGTTGGAATTCGCTAGTTTATCCCACAGCAGGAATGTTGGCACTTGTGCAATCTTGATGTGAAGATATCTCGTTTCAGTCACATAGACATGTGTGCTATATATATTCATAATGTGATACCGATAGCGCCAATATTGCCAGGCTTCGTTCCGGCACTAGGGGCCAACGCTGGGGCAGATTAGCAAAACTAACTATTGACAATCCTAGCACGGGCGAGAAATTATGATTCACCACACTGTTGAGCTGTTTTATTGTCTTTTACGAGATCAATGTCTCGATATAAAACAAGAGAGTAACCCTCAATGATATGAGCACGAAAGCCAAAACGAAGTAGGTCGGGTGGTTCCCGTACATTTGAACCCACGACAATTGCACCTGAATACTATTGCACCTATGAAATTTTTTTGTTTCTGTTTTGCAGATATTTGAACCCATACTAACCCTAACCCATGGGTTCAAATGTACGGTCACCAGTTCGGGTATGCAATCTGTCACAGTAGACTACCGCTAACGCAGTCTTCACGTCTTTGCCTGACCACCAGATAACCACTAAAGCGAACGCGGAACCGCGACGCAGCGTGCGACTTTCAATTTGGATGACGTCATCGCACACAAAAACAAATCCTACAGAGTCCACACAAATTTGTGAAATGAAGTTATATATAGCCCTCTAGCGAAAAATACAATCTTTAACCACTGCAATTTTTGCGAGAAACACGATTTTTTCATAACAACAACATTAACTACGGAAAAGGCTACAATTGCTGATGAATTCTTTGATCAGATCGTAGATCGGTAAAACTCTGAAATATATTTAATTATAGATTGGTGTTGTCTTTACAGTTTTAGGGGCGCATTGTTAGGCGCGAGAGCAAGAACCGTGTTATTGTTAATTGCACTAATGCGAGTTTTTCGCTTTCTGCATCTGAAAGCTTACATTTTTGTTGATAACAAAACTCGATATGCACTGTATTTATGTAATAGTATCTCAATTTTGCGTCCTCCAAGTGCGATTTGATAGAAGTGTCATTGTCCATTCACGCACTGAAAACAATTTTTGCTTAAAAGTACCTTGTGCTTTTACATGTGAGGATGGTGGTATATAATTAGTTGAAAGACGTCATGCTTAAAAGAAATATGTGTATAGCGGGTTTATAAACCGTTCAATGATCTTTGGATTTCAGAATTCAAACGTTTTGGGTATACTCAAGAATGTCACTGAAAGTCTGTGGCAGGCATTCTTAATCACAATATTAACAACACAAAACAGGGTGGAGCGTCATCAATACGCCATCCGAAGGTTGTCTATCTGTGATATCACTAATTCAATTGGTAAGCACCGAAAAAATGTAAGGAAATATTTACCATTGTTGCTGATTATGAAAATTTGACAATGACAATTTCTGATTAAGTTTCCGGTCAGAATATAATGTTGTACGATTTTATTGCAAAAGCGTCTAATTCAATGCCATCCAGCAACTGCGCATTGATATTAGCGTAGCGACGAACGCTTGGAATCCGCAACATTTGTCGCCGTGCTGACTACACACGCGTACATTTTTGCACCATTCCCTCTGTATTGCCTTTTTATCGCTACAGTAGGCCAGAACTGCGAAATTGCTCTTGAACCATTGTGACGTACAATTCTATATTTTACTTTATTACGTCAAACATCACGCTACGGTTAGCCGGTTAAGTTTTCCCGTTTAACGATTAAAGTGTTTTCACTGAAATTCCCAGCCCTACTAATCAGAATATCGTTCAATGCCTGAAATCGGCTGATATATCGAATTGCACAAAAAAGAAACCAACGCTTCCCGACTCAACGGCCTTGTGTGATACGATAATAACACTTTCTTAACTGCGAAGACTCGTTTCGATGAATAATTTTTTATATTTACGATATTTCGATCTCAAGACAAAATGAAAGCAAATAGTAAAAAAAAATTAAAACGGGATTGCATAATCAAATTACAAAGTATTTAATCACAGCGATTCAAACAAGCAAAATGCACCTCCACAAAAACAATTCAGGAAAGGAATTCATACGGCCATTTCGTGTCCACCGCTTAGGGAACCCAAAATTGTGACAAAATCTCAGAAAAGTTACATCTGCTGGCCGTTATAAACAAAAAAGAAAATACGTTCAATGCTTGGAAATACAGTGTGCGTAGACATAGGAGATGTTTCTAGTACAACAACAATATCATGAAGATAGGATATTTAATGAGTGAAAAAAATGAAGATCGCAGTGTCGCTTTATCAAATATGTCGTAAATACCGTACAATCACTCAAAATAAAGAAACTGAATAATATATTTAGCTTTTGGTAGTTGCTTGCTCTTATGTAAAAGATGAACGTCAAGGACAAATTTGAAAATTAAAATTATGAACTGTGAAACATAACTCTCATAACACACACAAAAACGACATCTGTTCCAAATTGTTTAAAAGTTTTGCTGTATACTAACTTTTAGTCAGGGTGCAACAATACTGTTGAATAACTTGAAACAGACAACAATTTATTCAAACAACAATGCACAATGGACCCTGGCCATTTGAAACCCATCTCACTAGGAAAAAATAAAAGTGAAATGAACAAATCAATTTTAATCCCGCGACAAAACAACTTTAACATTAGCTCGAATGAAGGATCTGGTCATCAGAGCATAAATTTTCGTAATTTTTGGGTTTCATTGTGAACGTGAGCGTTTTTATTGGGAAGAAATTTTACGGTCATTTTCAATATTTTTAACATGATAAATATGATCAAGTTTTCAAAAACTACACGTAAAAAGGACACGTATTCTTACTCGTTTCACGTATTTCTTACTGGTGCACTAAGCGACTTTTCAGTAAAGGCGTAATGACAGTTTTTTTAATATACGTTTATTAAAGTTTGAATGGGCGTGGTGCGGCAGTCATGTCTTGTACCGTTGTTTTGACACTGATTTTTCTGATATAAATCAGTATCTTAACTACCCGTATGTTAGTGAGTAAATGTAACAACCCGTAGTTGAGATATTGATTCATCACAGAAAAAGCCTTTTCAGAACGACGATACAAGACGATGATCGCATTACCACGTCCATTGAAATTTTAATAAACGCATATCCAAAAACTTGACATGTCATTACGCCATTATTGATAGGTCGCTTAGTGCTTCAGTAGAAAATACGTAAAACGAGTAAAGGAACGTGTCTCAGTTTCCAAAAATTTGATCATATTTGTCATGTTGAAAATATTGAAAATGACCAAAAAGTCTTCCCAATAAAAAAGCAGCTTACGTTCACAATGAAACCGAAAAACTACGAAAAATGAAAATTTATGCTTTAGTGACCATATCTCCAATTCGAGCTAATGTTAAAATTGTTTCGTTTGTGCCACTTTTAATTTTACTTATTTCGTGGAGAGGAACAAGAACGTCTTGTCTTGCCTTTCCTTGTAGTGGTGGAAAATAATACTAGTTGACCGCTTGTTTGTTCCGTACGTGGATATGATAAGCCTTTTCTTAATAAAATCATTTTATGATATTCCGAATCTATCTTATGGGCAATGTCGTGAAAATTTTTTTTTTTTTATTCCTCTAAAACTTGAGAAAGCATCTATGGTACCACATTTCATTGCATTGAAAAACGATGGTCGTTTCAGGAAGTGAAAAAGCAAAATCTATAAATGATAAGAAAACAAGGACCTCCAGAAGTATGTGCACCAAGATGGCGCACAACCTGAAGATAGTATGTGTACCAGGCTAGGGTTCAGGTTGTGCGTCATCTTGGTGCACATACTTCGGGAGCGCAGAAAACAGAATACGTTAAAACCTAATTTTGATAAGATTTATATACTATCAGACACTTTTTAGTTATTGTTATTAGGTAAACAATGTAGCCAAGGCAAGCCACTCATTATTTTATACCATATATACATAACATAGTATGTGTACCGGGTTAGGGTTCAGGTTGTGCGCCATCTTGGTGCACATACTTCGGGAGCGCAGAAAACAGAATACGTTAAAACCTAATTTTGATAAGATTTATATACTATCAGACACTTTTCAGTTATTGTTATTAGGTAAACAATGTAGCCAAGGCAAGCCACTCATCATTTTATACCATATATACATGTTCTCCCATATCAAAAAACCGTCTGTATGGGCAAAACAACGGCCGATTACTAGAAAAAATCTTGTTTTCATCAGTCGTGCATTGTTGTTTGAATAAATAAGTGGATACCGGATGTCAACTATCAGTATAATAATAGTTAACTATTGATTATTCCATGTATAAATATGGATTCACAAAAACAAATGACGGAACAATAAGGAGATAGGTTAAAGTTAATTGAATTAAATTAATAATTTTTAGCGGCTATAAGTGCTAAACAGGGTGTCTCAAAAGTAAGTATACACTTTTAATTTTGATTTGATTTTCAGGTACTCATCATAGAGCGTTCATTTCCTTAGGAAACATAGCATGGACCTATAGTAAAATTTAGGTATTGTTTGCATATTTTAACAACCCACAGAATGACAAGGAGATTAACCCAATAAATGGAGTGAAAATCGCTGTTTGGCAAGAAGCATATAAAATATAAAACAGTAATGCATTCGGCACTTTTACGACGAAGAGTTCTGCAATTCATCAGAAATTCATGTAAACTGGATCTGTAGTTGATGCACAAAGATCGGGATGGCCTAGGAGCGGACGCTCTGAGGAAAACATTCAAATCTGAAATAATTTCAAATTCTCTGTTATAGAGGCGCTAAGTTTGCCTTACTGATTTACATGATTCTTGCCAATCAGCAATTTTGCTTTTCATTTTTTGGATCAATCTTCTTGTCATTCTATGGGTTGTTGACAAATGCAAACAATACCTAAATTTTACTAGTGATCCATACTTTATTTTCTGAAGAAATGAACGCTCTATGATGAGTACCTGAAAAGCCAATCAAAATTAAAAATGCATACTTACTTTTGAGACACCCTGTATGTTGAAAGGTACAAAACAAAAAACCCATACATGGGATTGGGAATTCGCACAACCGAGGTGAATTAAATTCACAGAAGGAAATGCATATTGAACTGAAAGTACAGTCATGACAGGTAAGAAACATACAATATGAGTTAGACAAGTTTACAGACAATATTTACCAGGTAAGTTGTCTACTTCTATCTATCAAATGTACTTGATATAAAGGTCAAGGTTGAAACAATGCACAATGTTTTATTCTTGCTATCAAATATATTTTTTACAAAGTAATGTGGAGCCGTTATCAATATCATTTATTTCTCACCAGTAATGCATGCACTTAATATAAAACACTGGCTATAACGAAAATTACAGAAAACCATACAACAAAACATCATGCGAGTACATTGGGCTTGCATACAAGATATTTCCTCATGTCTTCAGAAGGAGTGAACTTGACGTTGTTTATTGATTTGATGCTGTCAGTTTTGTAGCCATATGTGATACGAAGATTCTGTGAAATTAACAATAAAGTGATTACTGTAAAGGCTTACAGCAATTTAGTGAAATGTTATTAACTTTTATTTGCGTACATAAGGAATAAACACACGCAAAAATCTCATTTTTGCAGTCGTTCATGTTAGATCATGGTTTACTATACCTCTATGCTTGGAAGTTTATATCTGATTGCATTTTAGAATTCTAACTATATGTATTCTGCAGAATAATATTTAAAACAGAAGTTTGAATAACAGCAATTTTAATTATGTTTAATATCTTCAAAAAATACTAAGGCCAATTATACTCTGATTCACATGCCGCATTTAGTAACTTTTTTGATTGTGTACTCAGATAGTTTTTCATCCAAATTACGGATAGTCAGTAAGAAACAACAATATCGACAAAGACTAATTTTCAAAAAATAAAACAGAAGATAAAATGTCGAAAATGAAAGCCCAACCATCGAATACTATCCATTTTCTATGAATTTCACTTACTTTGTTGCCAGTATGATCCAATACTGTTTGCAACAACTCCAAGCAACCTTCAGCCATATGAGAGAAGCAAACATTTAATTCTTTTTCAACTTTTGGAACAAGTTTGCAGATAACTTTAATATACTCAGTGTCCACATATCGCTTTGAATCACTGATATTTAGAGTCTTCAACTAGAAGAAAACAAAAAAATCAAATAAATACAAAATATTGATACATACATAGATTTGTGTGATAGATTCGTTAAATTTATACTGGGTTAAAAAAGAACAAGAAGTTTCAATCACATTCTAACTATAGTAGCCTCCCCTGCAGCCACACGTACATGACAAATAAAAACTTATTTTTTGGGAACAATTTCTGAAAGTTGAGTAGAATACAATCCATTACTATAATAAATGTAAAATAAGCGCAGCGTTGCATCGGTCGCTCAATAATTCAATTATGAAATTGATCGGAAGCAAATCATATTTGATTGCCTGTTCTACATTCAGATTAGCGGGGTCAACAGTCCCTGGAGCATTAATCCAAATATGACACCAGGCACAGACATATCAGTGATCAAGATTGTTTGGAAGTTCATTGATGAATATTAGGAACAATGTACGTCCAAGAATTGAGCTCTTCCATAGAAATTGAGTACATCTATCTGAAACCGCTGTTCATCAACAATAACAATGATTTTGCGAATAGATAAAAAAATGATTAAATGGTGTCATAAATCTTGCCAGATATAGCCTACCATAGTATCGAATTTTGTGCAGTAGTCCGGCGTGTTAAACTGTATCACAAGCCTCCAAAATGTCCAGTGTAATCGATTAAGTGCTGCCATATCAATCTAATAAGCACTGCATTTTTTCTTTTATGTTAACAACTCGACATACAAGAACTTGAACATCTTTTTCATTAAATTGAAGACAGTAAGATCGCAAAACCTTCTTCATTGCGCAATTTTGAGTTTGGTCTTCAGTAGTTGTAATTTTACAAGTTTAGAAATAGTATTCATAGTACCGCACTGTAATCCACCACCAAATTCCATCTCCGAGTGATGACTATTGATCATTGCAGTATTTTCTCTTGCTTGAAGGTTGATCACGAAGTTTTGTGGGGATTCAACACCTTTGATTCAGACGAGAGATGTAGAAGAACTCACTGAGAATCATTGAGTATTTAAAATCATTGGGATCTTTTTGCTATATGTTACCCTACTCCTGGTACCGGTACGACAAGGGGGTAAACACCACGATCTCTAGCACAATCTTCATGTCATTAACACTGACAACTACCGATGGGTTGACACATCAAGTTCCGTAGAACTTAACCAATATTTTTTATTGGCATGTACACCACAAAAAAATCCTACCATACTTTTGAGAAGTTGAGCATCCATCATGTACCTTCACCGGAAGTCTGGGTGGCCATTGATGATTCCGTTTTAGCGACTTTTGTGGTCAGTACCACTTTCAATGTCAGGTCTTCTTGCTCATACAGTGATCTCGAAATTACTTTAAATTTCAAAGAAGAGATCTACTGGTTGACACTTGACAGAACAGTCATATAGGCCCTGGTTGCAATGTAGCATAGCATACCAACTAGGCTGTGGTGCCATACCGAGTAGTCTATGATGCTATGCCAGGTAGTCTATGGTACTATGCCAAGTTAGCATCGAACTGAATTCGGTCCGAGATTAACCACCAATGAACTCAAGCAACTGATATGTTGGTTGCATGACTTTCAGTAGTACCAACCATTTGTATCCTGCTGCCAAAACAGCTTTGATACACCTAATCTGCTAAGTCAATTGCTTTTGGCATATGACCTGCACTTGGCATGGCAGTCGCTATGGAATAAATATTTGTGGAGCACATTGCAGGTGCCACCACTGCCATGACGATTCCACAATCACAGGTCTATGAGCCAGACTCTTCCTATGAAAAGTGGTTTATTTTGATTAGTGTGCACATTGAAGACTACCAGTTGTTATTCTCTGAAAAGCAAAAATTATGACATTTTCGTTTAATTCTGAATTAAAATTTAAACATACCTGAGAAGTACCAAGTTCATCCACGAAAGAATTCAGTTGTCTTGTGTTGAACATGCATTCACTCATATCCAGATTGACAATGGGACAAGTTCCAACCATTTCGCCAACATGTTTAACACCGTCATGTATTGGCACATTATCACTGATGTTTAGTGTTTCAAACTGTAATCAAGTTAGTTAGTAAGTAACAAAATCCAGGAAAAGGGTAAGCAACTAACAACTAATAATGAATGCTTCCTTTGATAAGCACAAGAACACAAATCATGACATTTGAAAAAAATGCAATACTATTTTTAAATGAAAAGCCGAATATTTTGGTTATCCACCAATGTACTTGCAAAAAAATAGTAGAATAAATAGTACTCCCGTAGTGCGTGTACCAGATTAGGGATAGGGGTTGATTTTATTCCGCTTTTACTTAATTTAGTTCTATTACAAGCTCAGGGACTATTTGTGTTAGCCAAGTGAATTCACCCTCTGCCAATAGATTTCAGTCCCTTCACACAACTTGGCGAACAAAATTAGTTACCTCTATATTGGTACACCAAATTCTGGAGCGCCAAATATAAAAATCATATTGTAATATATTACAATGTCCTACCTCATGTGCTTGTAAAGCTTTTCCCATTGATTCAACTTGATTTTCCGTCAACTCACAACCAGATACATTTAGATCTTTGACATCATGATTTTTTATCAGCACTATTAAGTCTGATTCATCCCCAAACTCCAAACATTCATTATAACTGATGTCAAAGGCACGAATCTTAAGAATGACCGTAGTAATAAATGTTTTTTTTGTCAAATGAAATCAATCTAAATCCGTTCTGTGAATTATATTCCAGAAACAACCCATATAATAATTGAAACAATGGAACGAGCAATATGTTAAATTTGTTCTGAAAGATGTTGGGTATGTTGAATTTTTTTGAGCATTACACAATTTTGCTGCAGAGAAGCTCTATAATTCTTTATACTCTGTTGAAAAAAACTAAAATAGTATCATAAAAAAAAAATTCCTTGTAAATGTGAAGCATATTTTACCCGCTCCTTCATTGTCCTCAATTTTTTTTGTTTGAGGTTGTATGACTTTAAATTAAATTTAGAATTTTGCAATATTTTCTAATATAATACATGATATATTATATATATAAGTATATTCATACTTGATATATATATAAAAGCAAATCTATTATAATACCGACAAAACAAAATGATCTTTAAGGTGTATCAAGTTAAATACTAGTGGTAAACCTAACAGGTATTTGATTATATTTAAGCATTAGACATGTAACAATATGGACTCTTGGATTTGAATGTAAACTTTTGGGACCCATGGACTGTATTGTTACCACTGTATTAGATAATGAAATTTCCTTAACAATAATGATGTTTCTCACTGTAGTTCTAGATTGCAATGACTCCCGTAATGTATGAATTTTCTCATCGGTCAATTCGCATTCACTCAATCCAAGAAAATCAACACCATTTTTATGCAGCAAAGGAACAATCATTTTAAAACAAGAAGCTGTCATTTCAGGATTGTAACTTAGATTCAGATGTTTTACCTAGAGAAATAATAGAATATACTCAAAAGGTGAGCAATATATATTATCAGAGATATATATAGAAAATTTGGCGCTCCGGCCAAGATGGCGGACAACATAAACATAGTATGTGTACCAGGTTAGGGTTAGGCAATAATATTCCTCCAATTTTCCTTATTTTAGTTCTATTACGAGTTCGGGGACTAGCCAAGTGACTCTCGTAGTATGGTCCGTCATCTTCGTTCACATACTATAAGAGTACCGAAAATTTTACGTTCTATTTTACAGCGATTGATATCTAAAAATGTCTAGATAGTATGAATATGTTTAAAAAATAACAATACAATTGTATCTTGCCTTTCCCTCAGAAATATTTCTAGTCAAAGATTGTAGGTATTCTTCTATTATTCCACAATTCATCAGTCTTAATATTTCAATTGATGATTTCTTCAATATATCAGCTAGCGAAGAAAAGTCTTGAATATTTGTATTGTAGCTGAGATCTAGCCCAATGAGTGTCTTCACCTAAATAAGTTGGTTGACAGAAAGTACGTTTGTTAAATGTAACTCATGGTATCTAAATAAACCAAACCTGAATTGAAATTAACCTTAGCATTCAAGTGAGCCATGGGAACAATAATACAAAAACCTGGGTATGATGGTTTAATGAATAGCGGAGGTGCAATCAATTAGGTAGGTTTTGATGTACCGATCTTATTCTCTAAATAAACCAATTACCTCCATGAGTTTCAATAGTGACTTGATTCAGGCTCTAATAAATTTAAGTTATCCAATCTTACCAAGTTAGTATCATCAAGATTCCAGGATAACTTTCTTAGAAATTCTTCTGAAATATCATTTTCACTCATGTTGAGTATATTAGATCTGCAGGTTGATAAAATCTTGCAAATCACAGGCAGTAAAGAGGATATATTTTTTTCGCAGTTTACTGAAAACTCGCGTATCTATCATGTTAAAATAGAGAGTAATAAATTATTAAATGATCATATACTGTTCATAGACTCTAGAAACTAAGATGAAAAATCAGTAAACGGCCATATCAATTTCAAAGAAATACTAACATGAAGAGTACTATTAAACCCCATAATTGATATTTCTGACAGTCGTATATTTTGCTTATTAGACCAATAAATAAATTTTAAAAACTCACTTGGCAACAAGAATTCTCGACATAAGAAAGAATGGTTGTTAATAAGTCTGTTGTCGGGTTCACATCGCGTAATGCAAACTCTAGTATACTTGATGAATTACTGATGACATTTGAAACAAAGTCAACCGTAGATATTGTAACATTCGTATGAGCGATTTGAATCTCATTCCAATGTAGTACATTTTGTTCTTGACATTTTTTAATCATGTCATCAGGTGTTTCTATTCCATCAAGGAAACCTGTCATGACTTGTTTCTCAGCTAAATCTGAAACGAAAAATTCAATGTTTTAGGAAAGATTATGCTATGCTTCTACATATTTGATGTAATAAAATTTCCCGCATTTCAGAAATCATATGTTTCGACTTACTTTCACTAGTCGTAAGGGTTGTCAACTCCTGGCATGTAGCCTGAACTGGATTTGCAGATTGAAGTTTACAATCAATATTTGAGCACAGTAACTTCACCGCATTCTGATTAATTATAATCTTTAAGCTTAGTGTTTCGGCTTTTCTCAAAGCCCAAAAGATATTCAGAATACTATGTTCGAATTCACTTCTTCCAGAAATGGTACCTAAAATACAATAATATTCAGAATTGATAACAAGACATCTTGAGAATATAATAATATGTAAAACTCAATCTTACCACCAGTTTTCTTAGTTGGCATTCCAACTATGAAAAGAACATACTTTTGATGCGATGTTGAAGTTGAAATCTTGCACTCTTTTCCTTTCGCTGTTTGGAATTTTGTGCTTTTATCATCATCATATAATAGGACAATATCAAATTGTTCATAATCATACGGTTGCTTCCAAACAATATCGATTGGTATTATTATGTTTGGAATATACTTTGGTAATTCTAAATATAAAATTTTTTTTACCAAGTGCATATGAGCAGCTTTTCCACAATTATATTTTTGCGTCTGAAATTTTGAAAAGAGCTCAATAATGAGTGATTCATTACAATTGGGTATTAAAAAACAATTCATTAATTTAGTGTATCATGAATTGGTAATACTAGAAATTTATTGCAGTCCTGAAATATACCAATGTAGAATCCAATTAAAAAGTGGGTAATACTATTAACACTACTTCAGTAGCATAACATAACTACATAAATTAATCAATTGTCATACTCATATAAATTTAGTATCTTTCTCCAGATATTGAGAGTCGAGACATGGAATAAAAAAAGTAGGTTAATATATAATACAAACCACAAAAATGCAGCAAAGTGTCAGAGGAGTCCCATGAGTTTTTAGTGCCGATAATGTCGTTTTCTGACAGAGTCACACTCTTTCCCTACACCATTTAAATTTGAAATTAGAGAACAAAAAATTCTACCAAAAACTTCATTGTTCTTATGCCTTGGTTTTGGCTTACATTACAGTGACACATTGGTCAAGTTATTAGCACACTAACCCTAATTTGTTGGACTTGCAAGTAGCAGTTTTGAGCCCTGGTTTTGGCTTACATTACAGTGACACATTGATCAAGTTATTAGCACACTAACCCTAATTTGTTGAATTTGCAAGTAGCAGTTTTGAGCAAAATACGGTTCAGATGCTAATAATAATAACCACATAGTTTCTAATATAATTACATGAATACAGCTTTGGATATTAATCAGAAAACTTTTCCCATCCTGGCCCATATATGGAATATATTCTAAATTGAATCCTTTCGAATAAACAAATTTACGCCTATCAAATGAAATTTATTCAAATTAGACTTATAGTAAAGTAATATCATTTTGAATACAGTGATACCTTAGTAATCGAACAACTAAATACTCGAACAATGTGGTAGCCGACAAAAAGATTCTTGTTAAAAATGATACAACACTTGAACAAAAATTTGGTGCTCGAATACCCGAGTGTCGAGTGAGATGACAAAGGCCAAAACGAAGGAGTACGTGTATGCAATCTGTCACAGTAGACTACTGGTACCACAATCCTGAGGACTAACACACAAGTGGAACTGCCACAAAATGCTCAATTTTTTATGATCTTATCACACACAAAATAAGGTCCTGTACAACCCACAGAAACCTGCTCAAACGTACAGTAACTGATACAAATTTTTTAATATCTCACCCATTTTAATATTTACTGTTGGTTTTAGGACACATTTTGTCTATATTTTTTGTATTATACAAAAGAATGAATTACCATTGTTTTCTTCGGGAAACAGTTTCTGTACTCGAACAAATTGGTAGTAGAATACCAATTCAAAACAAATTATATTTGGTTACTGAGGTATCACTGTATTTTGGAGTTAAATATAAATTCTTACGGAATGCAAGTAATCCATTGCAGTCTCGAAAACACCACGGAGATGTTCATCAAATTTCCAACCATATAAAGTAAGATTGTTTTCAACACATTGAATAAGAAAATTAGTTATAGCCACATAATCTGCAGCTGACACCTTCTTCCAATTTCCTAGAAGTTCTACTTTCATTGGTAGCTGGGTATGGCAAATACAAATGTGTTTACATCACTGTAAAATGATATTGCTGTCTAAGTAGAAACTTTAAGGTTAAAAGTGTTATACAAACTTTCTTAATTGAACACTTCCATCACATTTTTTTTTTTAAGATAAAATTAATAATATATTATTTTTCCAAAATAGTTTCCTCAAAATATTTTATTTCAACAATGAATGCATTATTAACTAATTAATATATCCTTGCACCAATAACACAACAAGTCTTACTTGTGTTGCTCCAATTACTGTCTTCCTGACTGCATTCAATTGATTTTTTATCACGTCATTACTTGACAAATTGTTTGGACTGAGATTCCAAAAGGCATTTACGAAACGGTTTTCACTTTTTGGTATCATATTTGATGGATCAATGGCACATTGAATAGATAAATCCATTCTCTCAACCTGAATGAGTTTTATCATGAACAAATAATCATAACATAGAATTAATTACAGGATAACGGTATAAAAGTGTTTGGATTCCAAAAAAGACTTGACAATTAATTTTTTAGTATTTCAATATTTTTTTCATTTCACACAATACAATAAAATACACCAACACTTCTGATATCAACAGAATGAATACATCCAATTGTATGGAAACTATTGTAATGTTGTAAGTTTCACTTTTGCATGAAATGTCTATCAACCATGCATAAAACAACTTCGTAAAATTCAGTTGAACTCTTAGTTCATATACCTAACATTGAGCACTGGTTACCTTGTATCCTTGAAGAGATATTCGAAAAGAATCTATCTCTGGAGCTGAAAAGTAGCAACCACTCATCTGTACATCTTTAGTTTTACAGTGAGATATAATTGATCCAATATGCACAATACCTCTTTTCAAATTTGGATTGTGTGAAACACACAGATTCGATATCTGTTAAACGATAGTGATGATTATAAGTACCATAATCACAGAATTGGTTCTTCTAAAAGTAGAATAACTATTAATTAGTTAATGTGACAATGATACATGTTTCACTAGCTGGAAGTTTAAAAATGGTTTGAATCAACCTTTGCAAATTTTTAATTGTGCCGTATTGTGGATTATTTTGTTATTACCGTAATTACCATTCTTAAAAAGATTTTCATATGAGATTCTGCAATCTTCAAGACTGTGTCAGGCATAGGAATGCACAAATTCAAACAGTTCAGTATTAAAAAATATAATTTGAGATAATTTTGTTTAATATATATGGAGCTATTTTCCATGTATGAAATTGATTGGTCCATCAGTTGAAGAGAAAAGCCTATAACCATTTATTATCTACTTCAGGTCCATAATTGAGTGTGAGGATATGCAATAAACCATCATAAAATATGTCCTGTGAATGTATCACATTATGATCTCATTATAATGAGAAGAGAAGATTAAGATTACCAAAACTGTGGATTCCTCCAAGCAACTTTTCAAAACTGATGTTGTGTGAGGCTGTAGATCTGTACGCATAACTGATAAACTCTGAATTCCATCGCAATTTTGAGCTATTGATCCAATGATATAAGCATCATTAGGAGTTAAAGGATAACTGGTATTTTCTATCTTCAAAGAATGAATATGCATTTTTATGAGATCATGAATTCCCTTTTTTGCTTCATGGATACATGCTAGAAAGTTCAAATCAGAGATGATCCCTCCGACTGATTGTATTCTTGAACGAACAATTTGTCTCAAAAACTTCCTTTTCTCTTCCAGTTGATCTTGAACTAAGAATACCGGTAATTAATTTTTAATAATTAAATTTTTTAACAGTTCAGGCTGCGCTCAGCGCCCCACAAGGAAAATTTGTGCAATCTACAGATAATTGCCAAGCCTGAGAGCATTCCAATCCCTATGCATTGCAAAGCTATTAATTGAGTCAAATTCATTATCTATGCCTCTGACGTTACAATGTCCTAATAGCTAAGAAAACAACACGATTCACAAAGCTGTCGCTTGGTGAGCCATTAGCAATTTAAAGTGCACAGCAGATATTAAAACAGAGAATTGGTGGTTAGGCAATATGCTGGAGTGCTATGATATGCTGGAGTTTTGGCTCCAGCATATCAGTCAATTTTGTCTAAATTTAATTTAAAATAAGATATGCTTCAAATATGGCACTTTATGGCTTAACATATTTGGGTGAATCATTTTTTTTCAAAATGGGTGTCATGAAATCATTGATTGGTTCCGACAGACAAATACTCAAAAAAATAAGATAAATAAAAGAGGTCTACCTTCCAGCAAACCTTGTGAAGCTTCAGTAACTTCATCATCAAGTATAAGACCAAAGATAATCCGAAGAATTGAACTCTGTTGAGAATTGTCAAACATTTCGATTACCGTTTGGCGGAATTCATTAATTGGAAGCTCAGCAACAAACATTGCAGCTAGAAACATTTGTATCGAAAAGTGATTGAAGTGAATCAGTTGTTGATCTTTGAAGACCTGTACAAGACCTTTCAAAGATGTGAAATCTCCGGTTTCCTTGAATGTAAGACGATGTCGTTTCAAATCTTGAGAATTGAAGATTGCTTTATTCTTCTGAATTCCAGTGTATGATAACGGTTTCAATCTTTCGAATATATCGTTCATGTTTGAATTCAAGATGTTTTTTGACCTTACAAAACTTTGGAGCAAGTTAACCATAACGCCTGACATTGTGCTTGGCTTAAAATTGCTTTTCATACCAATGATAGTGTATGTCAAAAATACTGGAATACTACAGAGGGATAACAGTGAAGGAGATCTTGTTTGCAAATTTTGCAACATTCGAATTCCCTCCATTTTACCAAGATATCCTATAGCGATTTTTTCAATAGAATTTCGACTCAAACCTGAAAGAGCTATTACTTTCTGAGGCTCAGAATCATCTGGGTTGAAATATCTCTCAGATGTAATAACGCGGCAACGAGGAAACAACTTGCCACGAATAAGTTGTAACAAGATTTTCGCAGGTTGGCATTTCTCTCCTTTGGTAATTTTCTTCCCACAGTTACAGGAAGTATAATCCAAGATATCAGGTGCATCTAAGACAAATAGGCATTTGCTTGGATGTTGTTTGATCCTCTTCAATATGGATATTTTCTCTTCTTCATCAAGTTTAATATTTTGAAAAACTAGTTCTTCTAGTGTCACATTTATTTCTGGATCAAAATTTTGACAATTCAGGAAAAACAAAAGGTCTACATCTATTAGGCTTGGTATTTTTTTATCCATTATTTCTCGAGATACAATTTTGAGTAGAGTCGTTTTACCACAGCCAGCTTGACCAACAAAACTGATTCTCCCCTTATCAAAATCTTCAAATATCTTGCTTATAACTGGATAACTGCATCCATCATCACCGCTAATATTTTGATGGAAAGTGACAAGTTTCTTAGAGACATCGAAAGTGGTTTCCGTAAGTTGTGGAAGTTCTTGAACTTCAAGGGGTTTCAGAAGATTAGTTTCTTGTGAAACATCATAAAATTCAGTTTCACTAAAATTGAAATCTCTTATTTTTTGCAAAGTTCGTTTGAGGGATCCAGTTGATTGGAGTGAGTCCATGTTGCTGTTTTTTTGTTTGTATCTTCTAATTATATTATTTTAAGCATTGCAATTAATTGGAACTTTACTTTATGTACACTAAAATAATGTTTTTTATAGTTCAGTGCCAACTTCATTTATGCTAAGCAATATAATTAATCAAAAATATATAGCATATGGGAAATCAGGTCAACACAAAAAACAGAATTAAAACATATCTATTCAAATTGTATAGTGCTATGAGTCTTTCAATGTTTTTTTTCATGAATTGATCAAAACGATGAGACTTCAAGATGAAAATTTCACAAAACATGTACTAATAATCCCAACAATAATCACTAGGTTATTGTAGGAACAAAATGAACAAAGCAAAATAACCTCGAGACTCCAGCAAACCCACGTTTTCCGGACCTTCTAGCTGGTATTGTCTAACTTGACAACTAAAAATATCAAAACCTTCCTCTTTTTGATTATTCCAGGCTACTCCCCGCATAGCAGTCTAAATCATTAGATATCAACTACTGTTTTTGAAATATAAATATGCTGTTATGAGTGTCTTAGCAGTATCCGGTAGATACAATAGATCTACGGAAGAGCCAGCCGGCTATCAAAGCATGGGGTAGTCAGTTATTCCTCAAGCTTCTGTGTTTTACTAAAAATTTCAAACTGATCAGATACACAACAAAACCTCTATAAATGAAAAATTTTACTTCCTTTCTTCTGCAATCAAAACTTTTACTCTATGACATCATTTTACTTGAAAAAACATGAATTTGAATTATTGGTGTTGATGAAATTGAACGTCGTCATTCATTTAGAAGCACTTAGAAGCTTAATTATTGACATTTGTTTTACATTTGTATTTGCATTACTTTTGTATCGATGAATGAACATAAAACTACAAAAAATGAGCACGTTCATCATTTACATAAAGCTCCTAATTTTCAACTTTGATTTTTTGAGGTAGAAATTTTTACTCAGACCTAAATTATTGCGTACATTGCGCAGGTCATGAATTGTTTGCTCAATGACATTAATATAGGATACACGTTAGCAACATGTGCTTTCTTGATTAAATATTAACTCAATTATTCGAATATTGGATCTTATACCATTGTCAGTTTTTGTAAATGTAAAATGTGTAACTATAACAAATATCACCCATTATCAACAATTCCGAGACTGTTTCTACATAGTAGTCTTCAAATCTGAATAGTTTGGAGGTCAGGAAATTTCATCTTAAAACAATTGTGATTAATATATTTGAAGCAATTTTTCAGCAAGATCATAATGTCAGCCAAATATTGAGAAATAATGCATAAATTTTAAAACTAAGAGAATAACTTCATTCATCCTAATTCTTGACAGACACTTTATCGGAACAGAAATATGGATACGGAAAAATTACCTAAAAAATGTAACAGAAGAGATATATTCTTGGTTCTTACAGATAGTTTTGATGTACAAGTAGGAATAAATATTAGTGGAGACTACACATCACAAAAACTGCATAACGCAATAATAACACACTTTATTTTACAAAATGTGTTGAAATAGATTTTTTGATGAATTAAATGTATATGAAATACTTCATAAGGTCTTGTCAAGTTTCAAATTATACGAAATATTATATTACAGTCTTGTACAGTTACAATGGAATGTCGCCGATAATGCTTTCTATAAGTAACTTATTACTGATGTTCAAATAATGAAACATTGGGTTTTCACCTTATGATAATGGAGGTTCTGTAATTTGCAGTGGCAATTATCAAAGTATTGAAATTCCTCTTCTTCTACAAAAATATGTGTCTATTTTCTTAAAATTTTAAAGGGATTAGGGATATCCAACTAGGATGGACAAAACTCAATAATTTCCACTGCCCTAGGTATGATCTGAAGCGATATTTAATTTATTCTAAAATTTCGAAAGAAAAATATGGATAAACCATTTTATATTCGAAGATTTATTTTTATAATACTCCTGAATTCAGGAATTTACATTCAAATATCAGATTTATGAATCTTTTATATTCAATAATTTAAATAACATTGCTATATATTATGTAATAGGGAATACATTCAAATCCACAAAATCTCATGAATTAAACAAAAATTGCATACTTAAGAGTGCTCAATGGTGCTCAAATATGATTAAAAATATTCTTTAACTTTTCTCCTACATTTGTGAGATAACAACAATGAATCTTTCAAAATTGGAAAAGTCAAACCATATTCTCAATGATCGTACCAACGAGGCTGTGGAGTTAGGGTCACTCCAAATTTAATGCACAAGTACAAGTCATTTGAAGAACATATCCGAATCCTATTTCTGTCTCTGAGACACATCAACAGTGGATTTATTGAAATGAATTTGAGCTATTTTTTTTTAATGCTGTTCACTGATATAATTGATGTAATACACTAGTCTTTTATTTGAAAATTGTTTGTAACAAATACCATTCATTTGGAATTACAGAAAAACTTGATTGAATGAACATCACTTTTGCCTTATCCCCTATGGAATAAAACTAAAGAAAATAAGCTAAGAAGTAATTCATAGCTTCCAATTGTTAACACCGTTTTCTAGATAAAAATTCTGGTTCGAACCTAAATTATCACATTGGGCAAGTCATAAATTAAATTACCTATTGTATGTTCAGTGACACCACGATTGATAGGTTGGCAAAGGTATGTTTTTGAATAAATAATATCTCATATAATCGTATATTAGATTCTTTGTAATATTGTCAGTTTTAATAAATATAAAATGTGTAAATTTCAGTATTACCTATAACACAGTATTAACATTTTAAGACTGTGTCATGTATAGGAATGTTCAAATTCAAATAGTTTGGTATTCTAGAAATAATATTTGAAAATAATTTTGTTTAACATAATTGGAGCTATTTTTAAAAAACATCACCATGTATGCCAAATATTTAGACTCAAAATTTGGCACAGTCCATGACTATGCAAATTAAACATTGAAAGAATAATTTCATAAAATCTTAGTTCTTGAAGGACATTTTTCAACAGCAGAAATGTGAATATGGTGAAAATTACTTTAAACATGTAATAGAACAGATATATTCCTACAGGTATTTTTGACTTGAAATAGATATTGGTTGAGACTCCACATCACACAAAAAATGCATAACTCAATAGTAACACATTATATATTACAGAAATGTTAATGTTGATTTCAAATGTATGAATAATTTCATATAGTCAAGTCAAGTTTCAAATTGAAATATTATATTTCTTTAGTGTACAGTTTACCTGGTATGGCGTCAATATTGCTTTCAATAAGTAACTTATTATTTACAGAACTGATGTTCAAATATTGAAACGTTGGCGAAATTATACTTTCACATTAGGGTTTTTACCTCATAAAAAGGGCGGTTTCGCAATTTACATTAACAATTACTGGCTTATGAAAGTAACATTATTTCTATTTTCCCACAAAACTATACTTATTATCTGTGTTCTTGAAAGTTGTGGAGGATTATAAATATTGAACCGGGATGGACAAAACTTTATCATTTTCACTGCCTTGAATATGTCTGAGGTGATATTCAATATATTCTAATTGATCAAAAAAATATTTGGATATAACACATCATAAAAAGAAAGTTTAATGCTTTTGATACAAAAAAATTTGTTCCTGAAATCAAGAATTCATATCAAATATCTTATTTACAAATCACACTAAGTAACAGAAAATACAAATAAATCGACAAAATTACATACAACAAACAAAAATTGGAATACTTAGGAGTGTTTGATGGTATCTTGCTATGCTTAAAAATATTTTTCAACTTTTCTTTCACATTTGTGAGATTGCAACAACAAAACCTTTCTGTTTAAACGACAAGTATAAGTCATGTGGTCAAGTTTACAGATTCGCTCTAAACTATGCTGTATGCAAGCAATTACCTAAAATATGTAGCGCTCACTCTTCCATTTGCTCTAGATTAGTGTTTTCCAAACTTTTTGAGCTGCGGACCTTTATCTGTGTATCTTAGTTTTGACGCAACCTCATCTTATGTGGAATCAATTGTTGAGCCTACCCAACGAAGAAGGATAATGCTTCATTTACAACCCAAACGACATTATTGTGAAGGATGAAGTTGTTTTCACTGCACATTCGCTTTGAAGTAGGCTTCGTACAATTGCAGAATTGTAACTGGACTTTATTTAAATGACAAGTATAAGGTACTGTATGTGGTCAGGTTTACTGAATTGCTTTGTGTTATGCTCTATGGAAGCAATTACCTAAAATATGTAGTGCTCACTCTTCCTTTTGCTCTTGATTAGTGTTTTCTAAACTTTTTGAGCTGCGGACCCTTATCTCTGAATCTTAGTTTTGTCGCACCCTCATCCTATTTTGTATCAATTGTGGTGCCTAACCAATGAAGAAGAAGAATACTTCATTTACAACCCAAACGGCATTAATGCGAAGGATGAAGTTGCTTTCACCGCACAATTTATCGATTCTTGGAGCAATTTGTGACAAGCAAATCTCGACCTGTACTTTGTCATCATATTGGTAAGAGATGAAAATGCTGCCTCACACATACAGGTAATATAATTTTAAATTCCCTTTTTTTACAGCAATGGATATTCGTCTGCAATGCTCAGTCAAAATGATGCAATGCTTTTTGATTGAAACTAATCATTAAAGAACGATCGACTCTTTTCATATTGTTGCGAACCCACTATGCAGTCATCACGGACCCCAGTTTGGGAAACCCCACTTTAGATTGTGCTCTGTATGGGCAACCACTGAATAAATATTAACATGTCCATCAATACAATTGCTACCAACTAGGCTTTGTACAAGCTTTTCATTAACTCTGAACTAGGCCCTGCACAAACAACAGCTTTCAATTATAAGATGCTTTTCCATAATTGACTGTGAACATTGCGCTTTACAAGTGACTACTTAAAACTGTAAAAGGGTGGGAGTCTCCACCAATATATGCATTGTAAACCAGGCTGTATAAGCTATCACAACAAAG